TGCTCTTGGCAGCCCCGACTCCGAGGACATGGGCAGCTTTGCCTGGGGTCAGCCACTCATCACCGTGGGTGTCAGGGAGATACCCAAGCAGCCACGCCAGGTCTGGATGTGCAGGCGCCGTGATGCCCATCGCTGCGAAGGGGGCTCTGCACCCGTCTGGGATGGGGGATGGCAGCAAGCCTGTGCGCAGGGGGTGTAGGCGCTGGTTGTGCACATGCATATGTATACCACCCCCTCACACCCCTGCGCTGTCTCGCACACCCCTCCTTTCTCTGCATCCTCTGCGCTCTCTCACACATGCCTTGGGAACAGTTACAGCCGCCCACGCTCACATGCGAAGGGGGCTCTGCACCCGTCTGGGATGGGGGATGGCAGCAAGCCTGTGCGCAGGGGGTGTAGGCGCTGGTTGTGCACATGCATATGTATACCACCCCCTCACACCCCTGCGCTGTCTCGCACACCCCTCCTTTCTCTGCATCCTCTGCGCTCTCTCACACATGCCTTGGGAACAGTTACAGCCGCCCACGCTCACATCGGATGTGTAAATGCAGTACATGGCTGGCTGCGCTTACACACGCAGGCTGCTGGGAGACTGCCCCCGGGGACTGGTTGTTGAGCTGTGTATGAAGCGCTCTGTAAGAGTTGCCTTCCCTCTTTCTGTGCAGGAGGAAGGTAGGACTCTGCTGCTGGGAGGGAGGTGATGCTGGAGGTGCTTCTCGCAGCCCAAAGTCCATAGGGGTGTCTGTGCAGGAGAAGCGGGAGGGCAGAGAGAGGGACCTCCTGCTTCTCACCACTCCAAGGTGCTTTTGTTCTCCCTTGCAGCTACCTGGATGGAAACCAGTTCACTCAGGTCCCAGGGCAGCTCTCCACCTTCAAGTACCTGCAGCTTGTGTAAGTAGCCAGAAACAGGAGCCCGGGCAGCCAGTTCCACTGCTGGGACCTGTGAGCAAGGGCAGGGGCTGTCCCCGTGGTGCGTGATCCTGAGGAGGGGCCTGGTGGCGTGCAGGGACCCCCGACATCCCTCTGTGTCCCCTCTCTGCACCAGGACACAGCTGGCTGGCAGCTCAGCCGCTGGGTGCTCACAGCCTCTGCTGGCACTGGGCACGGGGCAGAGGGGGGACAGTGTCCTTGCTGCCATCACCCTGTGTGACAGCCCTGCTGCTCCCTTGGAGGCTGTGCCGTGCTGCTGTTTGCACCCCGATGCAGCTGAGAAGACAGGGGGGCAATGAGGGGGGACAGAGTGCAGCTGGCTCCAAGCCCTGGGGTTTCTATTTTCCAGCGATCTGAGCAACAACAGGATCAGCTCCCTGAGCAACTCCTCCTTCACCAACATGAGCCAGCTCACCACCCTGTAAGTGCGGTCCCTGCGGCGTGCCCCACCAGGCTGCAGCCCAGCTGAGCTGCAGGGGGGCTGTTCCTAGGGGACCTCAAAGATTGGGGGGTGCTGGGGGCAGCAGGGTCTCCCCCCTCCCTCCAGGCGAAGCTGTGGTTTGAGCTGGAGCTCGGGCAGGGAGAGCATGCAGCCATCCCTCCCCCTTCCCTTCCACAGGATCCTCAGCTACAACTCCCTGCAGTGCATCCCTCCGCTGGCCTTCGAGGGCCTCCGCTCCCTCCGGCTGCTGTAAGTACCTGCCCGTAGCCCTGCCCATAGCCCCGCTCGGTCCCTTCTCTGCTGTTGCCTGTGTCCCCGTGTCCCCTGTGCCTGCTTGGAGCTGGGTGCAGGCAGGTGAGCAGGGTACAGGCTGCAGGAGGAGCAAGGGGAGATGCATCAGTCTCTTGGAGCAGACGGTGCCTTTGCAACAGTGACAGCGTGGTGGGGTCCAGCTCTGCCACCCATGCCTGGACCTGTGGGGCGGGGGCAGCCCAGCTGGTCACAGTCCTTGCTGCCCACCCTGGAGCCGCGGGCCCTGCAGGACCCTCTGTTCTCTTGCAGGTCCCTCCACGGCAATGACATCTCCAGCCTCCCCGAGGGCATCTTTGCAGATGTTACCTCCCTGTCCCACTTGTGAGTATCTCCCACTCTGCAGGGTGTGGGGCTGGACGTAGGCTCAGGAGACCTTTAAAAACCACGGGGCTGAGCCCAGCTTCTCTGGGGGCTGGGCTGCCTCCTGTCCTCTTCTCTGAGCTGGTACTTGGGGCAGTGCTGTGCCGTGGCTGCCATCCCCGTCCTCAGCCCCCAGGCCTAGGTGTGCAGCTGAGCCTCCCAGTGCCCGTGGGATGGCCCTATGGTCCTTGCTGGAGGTGGTGTGGGGGTCCCCCCCACACTGCCAGGTCCCCAGAGTCCCCTAACATGCAGATCAGGCTATGCAAGGTGCTGGCATAGCTGTGGGGTCGGCAGGGACTGCTCTCACCCATACCAGTATGTTGCCAGGGTGCTTCCCTGCAGCAGCCCCCCCAAATCTGTCATCAAGTATCGTCCTGCTGGTGCTGGTGTTTCAGCCCCTCTTTTAAGGAGCCTGTACGCCAGGAGCACAGTCCTGTACCCACTGCCTGGGGCAGGGGTTCACCTTTGCTCACAGTGACTTTTTGGTCCCATCCCTGTCCCTGCTAAGCTGTCCCCACCCACCTGCTGGTGGCTGGTCCTGCTCCTGGCATCCTGGGGAGGGGGTTGCCTGTTCCTCCAGCCTGCGAAGAGCATCTTGATTTCCAGTCCTGGCCTCCCTGTGTGTTTTGGGAGCAGCACTGCTCGGTCTGGGCTTCCCTAGCTCTTCACTGATTTCCCTTGCTGAAGCGCGGTGCTGCCTTTGCCGCTGCCAGCAGGCGCTGCTGTTTGTGTCACCAGCCGGCGCTGTCGGTGCTGTAGGACCAGGTTTGGCAGCCCCAGCGGATCTGCTGTCCCTACCGCCTGCCTTCTCGGCTGCCGTCTCCTTCCTTTGTCACAGGTCTCCGACCCCCCATCGCCACTGACCTTTGCAGTGAAGGAGGATGCAAAGAGGCACCTAAACCCTCAGACTCCCACGTCGCCCGCTGCTCTCTGCCCTGCTCTGCTGCAGAGCAGAGCAACCCTCCCTCCTCCTCTCTCAGACCGATTCCCTGCTCTCCCCTGATGCTGGCCCCATGAGCTTTGGCCATGACCCACTGCTTGTCCCCAGCAGCCCGCTCCCGTGTCTCTGCCCTGCAGACTTGTGCGGCAGAGCCCAGGCTGGCCCCATAGCTCCCGTGCAGTGGTCCTGTTGTTTCTGCACAGCATGAAGGTGCTTTTCCCAGTTTGCACTGGGTCCAGGCAGCTTTGCCCAAGTGGAGAGTGACTCCCAAGGATTTCCATATGGGCAGCAGAGAGCCCCAGCACGGAGCCACAGGGCACTGTGTGGGCTGTGGGTCTGGCAGCAGGGTGGTCTAACTGGGCAGCAATGTGGGGCTGTGTGCCCCAGTCCTCCCGCTGCGGGCAGCACCTCTGGTGGGTCCAGAAATGGAGGAGCACTGGGTCCCCCCATCATGTGGCAACCCAGCCAAGTGTCCAGTCCCAAGGTCTCTGAGCCCGGTTCCCTCTGCAGGGCAGTGGGTGCAGTTTTTGCCTTTCCTCCCCCTGCAGAGCCATCGGGGCTAACCCCCTGTACTGCAGCTGCAACCTGCGCTGGCTCTCCAGCTGGGTCAAGACGGGGTACAAGGAGCCAGGCATCGCCCGCTGCGCTGGGCCCCCCGACATGGAAGGCAAGCTGCTGCTCACCACCCCTGCCAAGAAGTTCGAGTGCCAAGGTGAGAGGTGTCCGCGCTGTCCGTCCGTCCATCCGTGCCCTCCTCAGGCAGGGCAGCAGGTGTGATGGGGAGCCAGGCTGCCTCCTGCCCTCGCCTGGCAGTGATGCTCCATGAGTCTGGGGGACTCCAGCATTTCATCCATTGAGCTGCCTTGTGGAGTAGAGGGACGGGGATGCGTCTGTCTTCCTACCTGCTGGTGGCACGTCCCTGATGACCCAGCAAGCACATGACTGTCCCATTGCCTGCTGCACAGCCCTTTGATGGGGCAGGCTCTGCTCCCAGCTGTGGCTGGGGCTCTGCCCACCAGGTCGGTGCCCAAAAACGGATGCCTCCCCGTCACTCCCCACGCTAACGTTCATCTCCACACCTCCTGTCCCACAGGCCCACCCGCCCTGAGCGTTCAGGCCAAGTGCAACCCCTGCCTCTCCAGCCCCTGCCAGAACCAGGGCACCTGCCACAATGACCCCCTCGGCTCCTACCGCTGTGCCTGCCCCAGTGGCTACAAGGGACCCTGGTCCCGGGGGGCCCCCGCACAGGGGGGGCCATCC